GGTTAAGGCGACCAAACAACAGAGAATGAGGAAGTTAGGCGATGGTGGTGGGATTCGAACACAGTTCCTCCGGGGTAATACTTTGGTGCGGTTACCACCGAGCCATCACGATGTTTGGTTCAGATTGTTTGGACTGTCGTCCACAGGTGCGCTTCAAGTGGGTGATGTCTGAGTAACATGGTACAGTAGTTCGGATCGTGTGGAGCGATATAGGAAACCTAGTGTTATCGTTTGGGAAAACAGCTCTGTTTCTTTTCTACCAGGGGCGTCGATTGCTCATCTAGTGTGTTTTTAGTTTGTGACAGCCAATCACAGTTCCCTCGATGAAAACCGACTTACTTTTCACTTAAGCATAGCAGAATATCGGTCACCTCACAGTGTCGATATGCGCATTCTCCTGATGTACCCATATCTCTTCAACTTCCAGACTCATTTTTCCATTCAGCTTCATCACTTCACATGTTATTACCCTATTGTGCTACCCGCCAGTGTGACTTCGGTGCATCGCACACTCCAGGCGCTTATTTCGATGGTGGTGGGTCATCCAGAGAATCTTTCGTAGTGTGATAGATTGCACGATTAGTCGACAGGCAAGCCACGGACAACATCTGATTGATAGGATTTAATTGAGCGCAAAACGACGCATAGGAGCTAAATTGCGACAGGCGAATATGCACCAGAAATACTAACTGTTGATGCAACTGAGGGACAGTAGTATATCTATGATATCTTTATCTTCCGTAATGAATTCAGACCACTGCTCTCCACACCCCCCCACGTTAGTGCATGTTTTAGACGGGGGAAAGACGCATTGCTATTTTTTAGGATGAGATTCAATTTACTTTCCCCAGGCACTTTGTATGGGTTTCCTTTCAACGCGAAACGCAGACAATTACTGAAATTTCTGTGTGACGTTTTGTCCGCTTGGATCTTGGTTTTCAATTTTTCTAATGTTTTCAATTCACAAATGATCAACTTCCCATTTTCCTTTGGCCTGACAAATAAATCCTGGCGTTTTCGCATTATTTCGGAATCGAATAAAATCGCTTATCGAAAGCTTCTTTCTTCCTATGACTGATTTTCTTTTTCATTACACACCTTAGTGTGACTAACAGTAGACAGATTAAGCCCAAGCCACGAGGACCTGCTGTTCATTGATGTAAGCCAGCAGCTTAAGCCCTGTGGGACTTGGAGTGGCGAACCACAATTCTTCGCTAGATTAGCTATGGTATTGAACCGGGGAACAACAAAGCTGCGTACCACCACAGATATGTGGCGGTGGCGGGGCTCGGACCTCAGATCATAGGGCCCAAAGCGCGCCGGTGACAGCGACTAAACCACTGCGCTACTACCACCCGGTGGAAGTCGACTGAAATGAGCAGGTATGGTTTTCGGACGTGAAAGAAGGTCAACTGACTACCGTTCACGAAGACTGTCTGAACGCATCTCTTGTTGCTTTGGGATTCGCGTGCCCAGTCCCAGGCAATTAAATTTGTGATTTTTTATGGTGTATTAGGATTCCTAGTTAGATGATTTGAACTGAATAGCCTTTAGATTATCTTTAGGCACAATCCCTAGTTTATCCAGTTGACCATAAACGCGGAACTCGTTAAACTCCCATAAGAAATCATCAGTAGTGCAATCCACCGACTGGTCCGGTCTTCGCGCTCTGGACCGATCGCGTGGGAGGCTTGTGTGCTAGCACTGTGCCACTCGGTTCATACCGGGGCTGAATAGAATTCTCTGTTCCTGTTTGTCCAAATGTTATCTTCGATTGTAGCTAACAGGGAGTGTACAGTATGTCCATTTGTTATTGTTCGGTCAAAAGATCGAGGTATTCAGATACGGTACGTACCTTGCTTGCACTATCCAAATGTGAAGTGCTTGCACAAACAGGCAAGAGCCTATACTTGCACTCACTCTCTCTGGTGGTCAACTAGAGAGATTTGTGTAGGTCACGCGTTTGACTTTGCTGAAAAAGATGTTAGGGAAGTGATCACATCACGAAAAGTGATACCGAGAATAGCTTTCACCAACCTGCGAAATCTGTGCCATGGCTTTGATATCGGACTTTACATCAATGGATGAGTGTACGTCGCCGCGGTTTGTAGTGTTTTACTTTACGATTGCGATATCTGTTTTTTCCGCGCTGAGGACGGTAATCAACATTTTGAATTCGACCACAGGTCCCTTGAAATCTGACTTGTCTGTTAGGAATATCGGGCGAGAAGTGACGGGGTTCGTCGCCGTGTGATGGATGTGGATAGTAGTCATTCCCTGGAACAAGAAATCGCTAAACATCACTTCTGATGACCCTGTTTGCTTGCTGCAAAATACAAACAAACCTAATTCAAATTTTGTGCGCACAAACGGGATGATGTAATCTGATTAGCAATGCCTTCCTGATTGCCAACAGTTTTGCATTGCGGTTATGGTTACCCCGAAAAGTTCATTCATAGTAAACAATATCAAAAACGTTGCTCATCCCCAACTGTTCCACAGAAAGCCGTGTATATCAAACTATCTTTTAAGGCCTATCACTTAAACGATGTGCGCCAAAAGTTAAAGACAGCTCTGAACCGGCTGCTCAGTTTCGACTTATTGTCTCTACTCGTGGAATGGATTTAGACAAAGGTGAACATAATTGACAACCCAGTTCTGTCTCACACACTGTATACCAGTTTACCTGCAGTTGCAGTGACTCATATATGGAAAGGACCAACCGTCGATTGTCACAACGAATAGCCGACCACATCCCCGAGTGGTTTGTGAAGTCGATGACGCAACCCAGACTCAGTAATCAAGCAGTCACACGTAACCCGAGGTCACCTATTGCAAAGCGCGTCATGACAAACAAACACAATCGATCCCAATTCCTCTTTCAAACCCTTGCTATGTAACCGCAATAAAAAACTTGGCACTTAGTGAGGTGTTGCTAATCTAACCCAAAACAGACAAAAACATCAAAATGTGTGCGGTGAAATAAACATATCATTGGTGTTTTGCTCATGTTCTCTACGATCTTTCTGTCCTTCAGCTCGTCTCCAAACGCTGCGTATCTTAGTTATTGTCTTGTACTATATTGTATCGTATTCTGAGAAGTATGCTTATGGCGAAATCGCAGTCAATAAATTTCTTGGTTCAACGGAAGGAAAAACAAATAAACAATGAATTATTATCGATTACAAATAAACAGGTTTGCAGTCAATTCACATAAAGCCTTATTTGTCAGGATGTGGAATATCGGTGTACGTTCATGCTGGATGCGGGACAACAAAGGTTAACGCTTAATGGAATGATATATATATATATATATATATATATATATATATATGTCACGGTTAGGTTGAGAGTTGGGGTCATTTGAAAAAATTGTGGCCAAATGCTTGGAAGAAATTATTTGAAGACCACGACTTAGAGTTCAACATGGGACTGAGAGAGGACGGCTGATAATTACCAAGCAACAACGGAAGCTAGTGAAATCATTTTCAGTTATACCATGGGAAGTCTGTCGACAATTGGGAACCGGGCTGACAGACAAATAAAAATGAATAAAATATGTTGCACTTTGTAGTTGTTCCAGTTTCCAAATCTGTGCGTTGTAGTTTACTAAAAGCTATACCTAAGTTTGGCATTTTAGATTGTTGTTTGTGGCTACTCTGAGTTACTTGGAGTAGAATAGGTTCCTAAGTTTTGTGGTACAGACCAGATGGATCGAAAATGTTTGCACTCCGAACTGACTGGATGCGATGTACCAAACGCCTTTCAGACGATATGACATTTTACTGTCTTCGACAGATTTGANAGTTTACTGCTATGCCAATCGCTTTGCTCTGAATACTGGATTCACTGCGTTGACCGGTTGCCAGTGGCAAACATAGGAGGGGGCGGGAGGGTCAGTTCAGAAATTGAGCATCTTTCAGAGACAGTCGGCTGTTTCTATTCTCTGACAACTGGTATACCTGTTGTAAGTAACTGATAAGCATTATTGATTAGATAGTAGATACGTTCTATGTGTTGTGTGCATAATATTGAAAAACGGCTTGCTTTTTTAAGCTCCCATCGAAAACTGATGTTTTATCCAGTCTGGTAAGCACAATGTTTGCGGTATACGTATTTTTTATTTTCACACTTCTGAATTCAGACTGTGCGTCAAACAAATCCCGGTACAGGTCCATGATTTGCTCAAGGGCACGATACTGCTAGGTTGCCCAGGCCAAAGCAGGTCAGTGTTCTTAGAGAATCAACAAGTGGAGTCTTCTGTCAAGTAAAACCTAACCTTCAAACCAGCTGGGCGGTGTGTAAAAACCGCAGTCCATTGGGAGCCGGTACTCGGTTCATCGGATCAAACGCTTTTTGGATGGGGTCAAACCTCCAATTTGCCCAGTACACCTCGATACCCATTCCAGCTGCTAACCACTACCACCACAGAATGCTGTGAATGAGTGTGGTTCGTTCTTCTCTTCTAGGGTAATTTAGAATTGGGGTTCTTATCCAACTCGCTTAGGTGAACTGCCGGTGGTTCATCGACCCAGTTATAGCCCCGGATATCGGCTTTTCGTCCTCCCACGTTGGTGGGGAAACAGCTCCGCCACGAGAAGGCTGTGAGTAGGGCCTTCTCAGCAGAAGCTATTTTTGAGGCGCTCGATCGTATGGGAGCATTTTGTGAGGTGCAACGGTGGGGAGGAGAGTGACTATCCGAAACCAGCGACACCCACCCGCGAACATACTGAGGCTTTCGGAGTCGAATGTTTGGAGTGATTAGGGTTCGACCATGAAGCGGTTCATGCACCACAAAACGATAGATAAAATCCTCAGTACTACAAGGTGCCAAAGCATGCATCATAAATCAATTGATTGAAAAATGCGGTAGTGTCCAGATTGTAGAGCTGTGTTACTCTTCGCTGGTCAAATGAAATTGGATTGGTTGCGAAGTCCGCGTCAGTCTAAAACAGATCGGGTATGATGACAATCAAGATCACAACAGATTCACTAAGTCAATGTTGTGGTGAGTACGCTTTAAGTGATCGATAGCGTCAGCAAGTCAGGAAGGGAAGTGACAATTTGAGTTCAGCGCGGATATGTACATACATTTTTTGCCCAGATGAACTGTTACACGTTATCACCGGGCAAGTTGTGAAATCATTTTATTTTGTTTCTACGTTCTGATTTCGACAGCAAAATTACTGTCAGACTTCCCCGACAGAACTGTGTATGGGTACACTTTGTGATAGATACAACTGTTGAAAGGACAAGACATTTCGCGTGATGTATATATAACTGATAACTATACAACATTTCTTTTCATTTCAATAGTAGAAATGCAAGCTACAGAGTTTTGTTTGGTCGGTTAGCTAGTTCCCCGGTGCAAACTCTCATTCACTGGTATGGCTTGATAAACCAGGATTCATTATGTGGGTTTAAAGGCAGATAACAATTTAGCAGTAATAAGCTTGTTTTAGGGCAAAACGAACTAGCAACGCAAATCATCGTCCGCAGTTTTCCAAAACCACCGTGATCTAAAATAGATAGAAATAAATAAGACAATAAAAATAAACGGCCGGGTACCAGACTTTCCAAGTTTGGACAGGAGATTACAGAACGAAACGCGGATTTCATAAAGTTGCGTCTGAGGGCAGTAGAGATATTTACAATTAAAGTGTTGCTATGTTGATGGGGGTTTGGACGTGGGAATCCGGGAAATCAATAGTAGTGACTCAAAATCTGGTCAATACTCTGTTTTCTTCCGGCATGACTTACTCATCGTAACGCTCGGTAAGATGATTGTTGGTGAGATAAATTTTGTACCTTATTCAAAACAGATTAAAATCAAACCCATTGCATCCGCGCTGTCCTCGCTTTTAACCTTTCAGCAACTGGTTCTACTGAGCCAACCGAATGATGATAATGATAATAAAAATAATTTTGGACATATTGCTTGTCAATATGTCTATAATCGATTTCCGAGTTACAGAAGATGTGGTCGGACCATTACAACTAGGTGACAGGGATAAGCTATGTGTTAAAGATCCCGGCCTGCGAGAATGTGGTCAATGAGTCGACAAACCCGTAGGCTTTAGGGCCTCAAACAGAAACTGCCACGTCTAGTTAGCGCCATCCTGACATCCGCATCATATCACGATGAGGGTGGATGTGGATTGTTTCTAACAGAACAGCGATCAGTTTGAAAATGGCTGTAATGTTTGCTGAACAAATCAGTGCCATCCGAAGCAAGGCTAATTGGAATTTCGTGCATTGACTAGGGATTATCAGTTTTGGAGTTCAAACGTGTTTTTAGCACATCTTTACCTGTGAAAAGCGTAAGAACAAAAGGAAGCAAATAGATCTAAATACAAACATACAACAGCAAACACGTAAGAAAATCAATGATAATAAATAATAAATATTTGATGAATTCGCTATCGAGTTATTATTGTTTTATTTGTGAAGACTTCAGTGGGTGACTCCGATAAAGCGATGACCGGTCACCAGTAAACTCGTCTGTGTGTGTGTGTGTGAGGGGTTCGAAGTACTTCTTATGAGATGAGTTCTGTGAAATGTTTAGTGAAGGACAAACTACAGGGATATGGAGCATTTTACGACTGATTATACTTACGGTTAGAAGGAAAGCTATTTATTACAAACAATTCATTATTAAATTAGCTGTTGCAGATTGAACAATTATATATTCAAGTTATAAAAGACAAAACGAATCTCGGATTAACCAAATATTTTTGGATGGGTGAATTTGAATGTGAAAAGATCATTGCTATCGGTGTGGCCTTGTAGATCAGCTGGTAGAGCGTGCGCGTGCAAAGCGTAGGCGACATCCATCCGTGGGTTCGAAACCCACCGAGACTACTGAAATTTTCACAATCAGCATACAGACTTCAAATCTGCCAAACAACCACTTGAAAAAATATTTTTACACAAATTTACACATGTGTGGAAGTGGTGCTACGTGGTTACACGATTCCAACACACGATCATCGGGGTGGGCGTAATATTGACGTACACAAACATCAAAGCGTGATCTGAACAACGACCAATTCTGATTGAGACTGCGTGAGTGAGTTGATCCCGGAGTATAAACCAGAACTACCTAGACAACTAGAGCATGAGTCAGTTTCAGCATCAGACATAATCGTCCATTTGATTATTGCGGAGAGATCGATTGCTCCCCGCCTTTATCTCATGTCTTTCATTATAACGAATCTGGAACAAGGTTACTGTCTGTTCAACTTTTTTGTCGCACCAGTTCAGGTCAAATTACTAGTCAAGTGAATTGCTATCCTTATTGAATTGCCATTTGCTGCGTTCATCCAGCGTGTCCATTAGCGAGGAAAGTGGTATGTGGCTGAGAGAAACATATTCTTCAAATGGGAAAAGATAATAAAAGTCACTTTAGGAAAAAAGATTAAAGAAGAGCGAACATTTATTTATTGCGCATATTAACTAGACCAATAAGACAGCTGAAGATTTATAAACTGCATTTCAACAGTAAGGAGAAGTTTGTTCACGGACTATCAACCGTTAGTGAACAACTGGAACGTGACCATATCAGAATGGGTAGTCAGTTTTGGCGGTTCGCGTCCGTGAATTCGTAAGTAAACACGATCCCAAAGTTTCATAGTTGGGAAAAAGACAAAAGCCAACTAATCTTCGGGAAGCTAATCCAGCCGTTCTTCTTCACCCAGCTAGGATTTAGCACAAGTTGACATTAGGGCGAGAGAGAGAGACAGTTGACAACTTTGTTCACGGGAGCATAGTTGACATATCACGGTAAGGTTCAAACCTGGAAACTCCTCGGTAGCACAACTGATGATGATGATTCGGATGATGATGATGATGATGATGATGATGATGATGATGATGATGATGATGATGATGATGATTCGGATGATGATGATGATGATGATGATGATGATGATGATGATGATGATGATGATGATGATGATGATGATGATTCGGATGATGATGATGATGATGATGATGATGATGATGATGATGATGATGATGATGATGATTCGGATGATGATGATGATGATGATGATGATGATGATGATGATGATGATGGGATGATGATTCGGATGATGATGATGATGATGATGATTCGGTTAATGATGATGATTCGGATGATGATTCGGATGATGATGATGATGATGATGATGATGATGATGAGATGATTAGGATGATGATTAGGATGATGATGATGATGATGATGATGATGATGATGATGATGATGATGATTTAATGATGATTCGGATGATGATGATGATGATGATGATGATGATGATGATGATGATGATGATGGTTGGTGATGATGACGATGATGATGATGATGATGATGATGATGATGATGATGATGATGATGATGAATGATTCGGATGATGATGATGATGATGATGATGATGGATGATGATGATGATGATGATGCGGATGATGATGATGATGATGATGATGATGATGATGATGATGATTATGATGATGATGATGATGATGATGATGATGATGATGATGATGATGATGATGATGATGATGATGATGATGATGATGATGATGATGATGATGATGATGATGATGATGATGATGATGATGATGAAAATGATGATGATGATGATGATGATGATGATGATGATGATGATGATGATGATGATGATGAATAACCTTTTTCGGTTGATTGGGTAGATTGGGCAGTATGCCAGCAATTTTTGGAACGGAAAAAGGTCAACGAATGCCCTACCTGAGAATATAGGGATATGGAAGGGGTAGGGTGGGGTGAGACAGCGGTGGTTGGTGTTCGATTGCGCAACACCGAATCAAAGTTATCTGTTTACAAATCTTACTCTACTTCTTCCTAGTTTATGCGGAATGTTGAGCTCCGTGGTCAGTCCAAAAGAAACGCAGAGGTGAGGTGAAGTACTTTTCGTCTATCACTGTTTCGGTGTGAACCTTATTCAGTTCTGAGTAAAGTTCTTCATGTAACGGTAGTTTACTTCATGCTTTTACAAATTTACTGAGCACATTGGTGTGTGTAATACTTTAGGAGTCAAAGTATTGCAATACTTTATGTCATGAAATACTTATCTTCGTTTTAGAGAACGAACATTTAATGTTTTATTGGGTTATTCATATGCACCGTATGATGTCAGTTTGCGTTGCTGAATTTCAGGCCGCGTGCAATGTTTAGATGAAATATTGCATCTGAAGTTATCTAGGTGATTACCGAGTGGATTATTATTGTTGCTAATGAGTTGCATTTTTAGCCGGATCTTCTTTGCACTCAAGCATCTCCTCTTCATCAGATTTGACCTCCTGAACCTTGTGTTTTTTGTATCTTCCTCATATGGGGTTCTGTTGGATGAAAAACCGTATATGACCGAAAAAGGAGCGTGTTTATATGTTAGTATAGCATTAAGATGTCCATTTGTTCGAGAGCACTGGTATCAGTGCCTGGTTATTGGTTGGCCTGTCTGGCACGATCGGGCACATCAGACATCAAATGTATTTTCAAAAAATTACGCACTTAGTATTGCTCGGTTTTGTGAGAATCTGCGCCAAACATTTGTCTTAAAATAGGGAGCATTAGTTTATTGTTTTTTTTGAATTCACTTGTTCCAAATGGCCCCAAGACATCCCCACTTAGTTTTCCGTATGATAATCAACTCCCAATATCGGTGTGTTTCTTGCGTTTGAACAATCGTAAATCCACCGGCTTTCGGATGATTAATAGTTTGAGCATCTTTCCAGTGGCATGGCATACTGGCAAAACGGTTACTCTTTCTGTAACTTTCCCTGTACTGCTTTACGAATCATCTGTCATAAATAAGGTGCTTGTTCGAGCGGCGCTATGACAACAGCCTGTCTTGACGCACTTCGAGAATTAATGGCCATACATGTTAGCACGTTCCTCTTGCTTGAGGATAGGTCAGTTTCATGGAGCAATCAACGGGAAATCAATGTGAATATGATTTAAATTGGCAACACCTGTACGAAATCGGATTTCTGATCATTGCTATCTGTAAGGCAATAAAGAGATCATAATGATGATGAGGATGATCATATTTGATGGAGTTGTCGATTTCTACATGTCACGATGCTTGATACAAACCGCTATTACTTTTTAAAACCCTTTAACCTGGCTACAAACCACGGTAGGGCGTACCTGGGCTGATCGTAGTGGTCTAACACAACAACTTGTATTGCATACATACCCGAATGTACCGGTTTATAACTTGTTACTGTGTAACTATTAGATCCAATTGCTGTCATCGATTAAGTCCCGGGGGTCGACGGAGAGGGCTGTTACTTCTTGGTCGGTTTTACTGTTGAAACCAGTCGCCTATAGGGAACAATATGTTCCCACGGAAGTGGTGAAGGTCATTTGGAAAAAGGATTTTTGGGTACAAGAACTGTATTATTTATAAACCCAATCCATTTTCTTTTTTAACACCAAATTAATGTGCAATGTGGAAAGATTATCAGGGTTTTGGATAGGGGGCGTAAAGGTCGGTGTTTCTGTTTTGGTTTACCATTTCCCCAGCGAATGCAAATCCTTGATCTATCGACTACGATGCTGGTCACTAATCATGGACCATGCACTGTGTTCAAAACTACGGGGGACCCCCTCACGCACTATCTTGGGTGTGCAAACAGATTGACGCACCCATATATGTGTGTGCTAATTGTAACACAATCCGTGCACCCATTCCCGAGGAGGGAGACACGACAATTTCGATTTGCTCAAACACAGCAAACGAATGTGTGTCGGAACCACGTGATCAAATGAAACTGGGTTATGATCCATCTCCGCCTGAGCTTTAAGCTTTGAGTTTTGCGTTTAATCCCTCGCTGCAAAGCATTTCTCGGCAAATATGGCACCCTAATTTATCCCAGTGGGCGCCTATATATTCGTGTACCACAAATGGCGCCTGCAAATCTCATCATGGTCTGAACAGTCAAGTGTATGGTAATATCACAATCCTGCCGGGCACAATCGCTACCTAATCACGGTCCGATGATTTGTGAGAATCTAGGTTATATAGGCGATTACACACAGCCATCAGTACACGTCGATGATAAAGTTTCTTGCTAAAAATGAACAGAGATCAAAGCAGAGTGAAATATTCTTGGTTTTCAAACATCATTCTTTGTATCAAGCTTGGATTAATCCATTCTATTATTCAGAGGCACCAGGCACCATCGCATTAAAATGCATTCAAATAGTGGGAAATTAACGATCTCTCAAGGAGTGAAACCCACACCCAAGAGCATCAAGAGCGCTTGGTGCCTCTGAACAATTGAATGAGGTAATCCGAACTTGATAATCTAAAACTGATTGAGCCATTCCCTCAAGGTGGTAACCGTCGACCATGTAGCTCAGGGGTAAGAGTTTGATGTCCCAACCCGAACGTTCGCGGTTCAAGTCCTGACAGGGACACATAATGTACACACTGCTGACGAGTTCCAAACAGGACGAAGCAGCTGTCCAGTGCTCTTTGTCGGTTATCACAAACATTTGCATCGCATCATTCTTTGTATTTTATACCAGAATTGTAAATAA